ACAGCTGCCTCTGACATGCCGCATCCTTCTCCCCGTGGCCCTCGGGTCAGCACCACACTGAGGGAAAGGAAAGCAAGCTCGGGGAGAGGTGAGGAAATGGGATCAGTGCAGGACAGGGGTATAAATTAAAAAAGGATGGGGTATCCCTAACCCAGAGAAAGCAGGGATAAAGCAGGGAAATGTGACCAGCAGACCCAATAGAGGAGAGCAGAGCTCTGGCGTCTGCATCTCCATGTCACAAACAGGGTACAGGACAGGCAAATAATCTGGCATATGCAGGTGAAGTGTGGTTGAACCTTCATCGATCCTCCTGCAGTCTCCTTCCAGACCTGCCTTTGTTGTTCCTGTCACTCCTGTTCTGTAAAATTCTGAGGAGGCCTGTTGATGTCTGAAGGAGAGAGGCAGATCAAGGATATTTGGGTATGGAAGAAAACAACCTCAAGAGAGCCAAAGCAAGCTTTTCTCAAGCAGCGCAGCAGCTGTGCCCCAAACCCTGGTCATTGGAAGTCCTATTCAGGAGCAGCTTCCCTCTTTGTGGGACCATGAATTCTTCTCTGTGGTTTTTCAGGCTGTCAAAAGGGTTGAGAATTTTCATCGCAGGATCCAGTCACAGTATTGTCAATTACAGTAAGTCCTTCTTTTAAACTGTAATTCTCCTTTTCCTCTGTGACATTTCTACAAGTTCTAATTTATTTTTTTATGAGCTTGAAAAAAAGAAAGGGGACTAAAATGACTCCTTTGTATTTAAAGAGTTTACACACCCGAGGCAATATGCTACAATATGCTAACTACAATATGCTAACTACAAAGGGGAAGCGTCCCAGATGCCTCCTGGACTTGCAGCCTCCTGCACCCCATATGCAGGTGTCTGGACGTGCCGAGAAAAGCCTGTGGACAAATGCAGACTGGAGGTAAGTGTACTTAAGCTATCTGGTGTGCCTTTTTACTGGACCTCCTTGCACCATTAACACAGGGGTGACGAGTCCCCATGGGAATAGAGTGCTGCTCATGCTGGGTTCCCAGGGCTGGCAGTGCTGCCAGGAGAAGTCTGCTCCTGTCCCTGAAACTGCTGCTTTGCTGGTTTAGGTGTGGATCTGTGCATCGAGCTCCTCTTGTGGCTGCCTTCTTGTGAGCAAAAGTCCCAAACAGCAGAGCCTTTGATATATATTGCAGTGCAGAGGCCTTTAAATAACAGCCTTTATTGCCCATTATTTGCACCTTGCAGGAGAAAAAATAAAAGAGTGCATTGCAGGAAATGCTGATGCAGGCGTGTTTGGCCTGACCTGACCAGCAGAGTAAGAGAAGACATGGGAATTTACAAACTGCAGATCTACT